TTTTTTTTTTTTTTTTTTTTCTAAGTTAACTTTCTTGATTATGCTTCCCTAAAATGGTTAAAGAGCTTTGAGCTTCATTGTCTGGATTAATTAAGCTTCCAAACATCTTTCAAACTTTTTGTGCAAATCAATCCTTTTATATTTCTTGAACAAAATTTCATTGCAATTTAAAGAATGCATGCAGTCATATTCCTAGCTTCATATCCCCGCTATTACTGCTGACACTGCCATTGAATCATTGATATTGCACTTTCTCAACAGTTACATGTTACTTCCAACCAATAATTTGAATGGAGCAACAATAATCATCGCAGATTATGATCAGAAGTCTTGCATTAGCCTCAACCAATATCCTCATGAATACCTCTTTCAGACAACTCAGGTGTTAGCAATCTATTTAGGTGTTGGCTACTCCAGCACCTAAGAATAATAGGTAATTGTATCCCACAAAAAAAATGATCAAACATCAGGTACCAATAACCCTAGATAGAACGATTGAATTTAAGTACTAAACATGTGATTGACCATTACTGGACTGCAAAGATCAAAGCATGCATTCAATGGATTTAGGTACAAAGTTTGCTTCTTAAGGACAGCAAAAACAATAAAAGAATCATGATAAAGTAAAACACCAATCAAGATGGCCAAAAAAAGGAAAAAAGCTATTTCATTGGGAAGGTTATTGTTTCAAACAAGAGAAACGCTTGGAGCAATGAACACTAAATTTAAATCCACAATATGTTTGTCAAATGAGCCAGCCAGTTGAAACAAAATAAATATCGTATCGGATGCAAAAGGAATCAAATTTTGTTAAGTCAACAGAACACAAGAAAATAGGGGAAAAAGAAAAGGCTTATTGACAGAGTCAGCAGCTAAAATAATTATTTGGTTTCCGTCAAGCACCTGGTGGTGAAAAATGATAAACCAACAGATAGATGACTAGTCTATCGGGAAGAGTATATCCTACAACTTTAAGAATGATAGATATCAGAAGCTGGCTGCCTTCATTGGAGTATCTGACTACCATAGTCTTCATTGAACTTCTCATAGCGATGTGCAAGTAAATGAGCTGATGGTCTAGTGTTCTTCAAAGCTGCCTCTATATCTTGAGGTGTAATGGGTCCAACCTGCGGCAACTCTGCAAGCAAAAGATGTTGATCGGGTGAAAATTCTGACGGTTGAAAAGTACACCTTCCATATATGAACTTGGTAGGTAAAGCACAAGGATAAAAGGCAAAACATGGATCATTTACAGGGAAACTTAAGGGACAGAATTATACTCTTCTCTTTTGTGGCTTGTAATCCATTTCTCATCAAAATTCAAACATGGATGTTTCTATTAGAGCCAGACCAAATACTTGCAGATAAATGATTCTTCAAAGACTAGGGTAAAATAGGCCATACTGATCCCATGATTAGTAAGATGAAAACTGAAACCATCTAAGTCTAACTGCATATCCACTATCTTTCCTAACTCCTATTACAGTTGGATGTAAGAAGGTGAAATGTCAAACCAACAAAGCACCCTAGTTTTCCTTTTCCCTAGCAGTCAACTGTTATAGATGTGTAATCTTGTGAAGGAAACAGAAAGGAACAAAGAAAGTAAATAAAATAAACAGATATTGAAAGGAGAAAATTGATAGAGAGATAAAAATCCCATAAATCCAGACAGAGGAGATGGCACAGTTCTTGTTTCATATTTCTCCTCATGAAAAATGAAACTCAATTAATATACCAACTTTCGATTTTTGAGTTATATGGAAGCACATACCATCCTCAGGCACCACCTCCTGTCTGTGTTCAAGGACTGCCATTAAGCGTCTTAAAGGCTGCATGGCTGCTTCTTTACAGAGTAATCGAATATCTGAACCTGAGTAACCTTCTGTCTCTCCTACTAATAAATCATAAGGGAGAGCCTCTTCACTAGACTGTGCTGGCAAAAGTTCTTCAAACATAGCTCTTCTGGCTGCTGGCTCCGGGAGAGGTACAAGAATCTTAAACATGGTTAAAGGAGAACCATTTAATTAATGACATGTCTGAACTTATATGACACTTGACAATTAATAGTCTAGTGACCACAATCAAACTGAAAACACTGAATAATCTTTGATCAGTGTATTAATTCAACATTATGTGAAGATATGCTCTCTGGAAAACCAAAAATTTTAACAAATTCTATATAACGTTTCTAAAAATTAAGAATAAATGAACATTGAGAAGGATACTCGCTTCTCAAGACGCCGGAGCATGGCTGCATCCAGTTCCCAGGGGATATTTGTTGCTGCTAAAACAAAAACAAGTTCATTTGTCCTTGTCAAACCATCCATCTGCCAGGTCAAAAAAAAAAAAAAGAATTCCTTATTGAGCCTTTGAGATCCAAATCCAATATCCTATGTTGTTCAACATCACATTTTCTAAGTTGCCCTTCCAATCATGAAGAGAACTACATATGACTTACATAACAAACAGGGACAGGAACAAACCACCACAGCTGTTATGGAATCAGGTTTTATCTTTGACTCAAGTGAATAGTAAGAAAAAGGGGGAGGAAATTTAACAAAAATTTTTTATAAATGCATCCTAAGCAATGCTACAAGGCATCTAAAAGATGGATATCATATCTTGAGTTTCCTAGTAAATCCAACCCCATATAATTTCAAAAATGTAATACTCAACATTTAAGGAAAAAAAATTACCTGTATGAGAAGCTCAGTTTTCAAACGCCTGCTAGCTTCGTGCTCACTGCGTCCTTCACCACGATGACTTATAATTGCATCAATTTCATCAAGAAAGATAGTTGATGGTGCATTGTGCTTTGCTAGGTCAAACAGTACTTTGATGATCTTCTCTGAATCACCTGAAATGCCATGAAAATTTTTATTACATAGTAGATTGCTGTTCCTTCTGAAAAAAGGAGCAACAATTACAACATAATAAACATTACCAAGAGAAGAAATAGAAATTAAGCACTACCAGGTCATCTTAATTAGCTTTTAGTTTTACAACTTCCCCATTGAAAATTTCAACGCATTTGAAGACAAATGAAAGTGCTGATGTTACACAATTTGAATTTCCTGATTGGTTAGTCCAACTGTGAGTCTATAACACACTTTGACCTTCATTTTTGTTTCCTTACAAAACTATTATTACCCGTCTGTTTCTTGCTACGCACATGATGCAAACCATTACTGGTTGGGCAACTTATAAGTTACCAACAGAAAAGCACCAAATTGAGGCCACTATTTTGGGAGGCATGTAACATCACAAAAACATTGAGTAACTTTCCCACTCGCAAGATTTGACACAAAGGAGTTAGCCTGCTTCCACTATCATTAAATTAAAATATAAGGCAACTAATAATATTCATGTCATATATGATTGTGACAAATTTGTGTTTAACATACCACGCCATTTGCTCACCACAGAGGATGCTGAAATGTTGAAAAAAGTTGTCTTGCATTCTGTTGCAACTGCTTTTGCTAGCATTGTCTGCAACATCAAAATTGTGAGCCAGTTAGGAATTATATCACCGAGAAAAGAAGGTAAGATTGTGCATCATGACAATATGCCAATTATTTTTCATTATGTTGCTCCTTTCTCCTAGTGTCAAAGGAGTTTGTACTCCACTGTCTATCTGAACTTGTTAATGCATGTTTCATTTCATGCTGGCTAAACATCTCTTTATCAAATAAAAAAGATGAATATAGCATTTATGAATGTGTTATTCCAATGGAAACACAAACAAAAAGAAGTTGCACGTCTTTAATGAGAAAACTCTTTCTGGCATCAGGTACTTGTAAGAGTAAATGCTATGGCATCCAGCAGATGTTAGAGCTAAAAGCATATATGGAACAGTTTGCTCTTTTTTTTTTTCTTTTTTATCATTTAATAAACAGTTAATGAACAAAAATGATAGAATGAACAAAAAAAATTTGGAGTCCCAACAAAATCCCTACCCTTTATGGAGAAATGGTTAAGATATGTAACACATAAAGACAACTCACACACACACACACACACACACACACACTCTGACAAGGGAAGTGCAAAAGCTTTTATTTTTCAGAAAGAAGTGGGAATTCATTAATTTGATGGGCAGTGCACTGTCATAGGTGATGAATAAAAAGGAGAATGTCAACAAGGCAACCCTGAGAAAACCATCAATACAAATGAAAACAGTAGATACAAACCTTTCCAGTCCCTGGAGGGCCAAAAAGGAGAATGCCTTTCCATGGTGATAGAAGACCAGTAAAGTACCTATGAGATTGATTTTGAAACAAGAGCTTCATCATCAAACATATATTGTATTTATGCAACACTTAGTTTGACATCAATTTGACAAAAATAGAGGACCTATTGGTGATTGACAAAATATCCCATGAATCTCAAGAATACATAAGAGAACTCAGCAACAACCTTGTTCCAATTATAAATGCAAACAGAAGGGGTGCACATTAATCACATGCAAATAACTTGTTTCTGGGTCACGATGCACAAGCATAGCCATACTTACTTCGGGTATTTTATTGGCATGACAACTGCTTCTTTAAGAAGACGCTTGGCATTCTCCAATCCCTTGATGCTTTCCCACTTAACATCTGGACTCCCTCGAATGATGTCTCTGAACAGAGTAGAGGGATTAGATGTTAAAACAACACAGAAGTATAAACTTACATTACCAAAGTATTTTATCGCAGGACAATATAAATGAAATTACTAGAGAAGTTACCGTATAATAGATAGATGTTTTTGGAGTTGATAATTACCTACTCAAACTCTCAGCTAAAGTAAGTACTTCTGCAGATTCAAAAGTAGGAAACAGAGGCTTCTGCCTGAAAAGAGAGAATCGAGGTCAGCAGTTTCACAGAAAGGAAGTTATTGATTTTTTTAGTCTCAAGGTTAACCAAGGAGGTGAGACACCAGATAAAGGCTATGCTGTAAGATATGTAAGTCAAAAGTTGTGAAAAACCCCAGCAAGTGACCAGAGAAAACAAATCACTCAAATTATCAAGATTCCAGAATTATACAAGGCAAGAGTCAAACTAAGATTAAGTTTAACCTATGAACAATATATCATTTTCAGTTCCTGCAGCTTGTATTGATCTTCTGTTTTCCCAACATAAGGTTTTGATACTTAATATATGACCCTAACAGAATCTAAACCCATATAAAAAAGTAAACACCTATAGTTACCAACAAGACTATTGAAAAGAAATCAAGCCAACAAAACAAAATAACCACAGGAACATACAGTCCATTGTGAATTCCATTAGACAAGGCACCATTTGTGTGTGCCGAGCTCCTATCCTGAAACCACAGAACAGTACTAAATCAACATTAAAGCACAAGAAAATGCTATAGCACCAACTTTTTACTAAAAGTAGCTCATTACCTGATTCCGATACTGCTCATAAATGGCCATCTCAGATGTGTTCTTGACATGTCCATTCCCATTTGAAGTTGAACCTGAAGAACCCCCATTTGATACAGATCCATCCGCAGCATCACCATTCTGTGACTCGGGTCTTTTCCTCCCAAACTTGGCATCATAAAACATTTTAAAATCCTATAGGTAAACATAATTCCTCAAAAGAAGCCTAAAAACATCACTCCGAATTCCATTAGTTAGGTCTCACAGTCCAGAAAAGCAAGAACCATCTCAACCATCCAATCACCATCCAAAAATGACGCAAAAAAATGAAAAATTATACTATCAAGCACTGAATTGAGTAATTGACATTTTCCAGAGTCCCAAACATCACCGATAATTTCTCAACGGACATTACATCTTAGTCAGATGTGACATTCTACACCACCTAATCTAACAAAACTAGAATCAGACTAAGAACTATCATCCTGTTTGGTTGGAACCAAATTGACGAATTCAAATCAACTAATTCATCAAAAAAAAAAAAATTTTGTTTCAAGCTAGCTAATTAACAGCATTTAGCTCATCCAAGCTGAGCTTCAGATTATTTTCCAATAATCCTACGTCCTTATTCTTTCATTTTCTCGGAAACCAAACGGAGGTAGAGAAAGTACCAGAAAATTCCAGCGAGTGGGAGCAGGCTCGTCATCCGCCATTCCTGCCAAAATCTCTGGAGGAAAAAAGAGAAGAAGAAAAGGGAGAAAGCTTTCTCTAAAAATCACAGATCTCTCTCCCTTTTCCTCCCCCTCGGTAGTCTGTACCTCGTCTTCCTTTTCAGTGGAGCTTGGAGGAGGAGTGCATGTGCCTTTTTTAGATCGCTCTGGATTTTACTAAGGAAAAACAAAATTTTTGATTAGGTCAATGCTGTTCTTTTATTCAGGAGTAGCGGAGTAAGTTATGTAAAGAGCATGTGCGTGCACCTTAAAAAATGGCATGGGGATTTGCAAAAGGCAAACTAGATTATAAGGACTTTAACTTACATGTCGTTTTTAATTGAGGACAGAAAATTTTAACTCATTTGGTACACAATTTTTATTTCCCCATGTAATGCCATAGTTAATGGGAAATGTCAACTCTTTTTTATGAAATTATGTTGTAAAAAAATGGATGTAGAGAGCTTTTAATATACATTCATCTTTTTCGTATATGAAAAATAAAAGATACTACAACTATAAAGAAACTCAAAATGAGCGGCAAAATGACATGATAAGGATTTGTGATTTGTGTTCTCAAGAATGTGTCTCAAATGTTAAGAGATTGAGATTTCCAATTCAAATTCTTAAATTTAAAACTTCATATGATTGATTAAGGAATTAAGGGAGTGAAAATACTATTTTTTATTGTATAATTGATCGTTTGAGATTAATAAAAAAAAAGATATTTGTGATTTGTAAAGTTGTTACTTCTTTGATATTTACATGGTTTTGTGAGGAAGTGTTGTGAAGGAATTTAGTAGTCGTAGCATTGTTAATGAAAATTTGTGCATTGTGCCACCAAATAAAAAGTTTGTACCCTCAATTAGAGAGTGCAAGAAAGTTTGTGTACCTATTAATCTATTTCACTAGTTTGTCCATATAGAATTTTTTTTTTTTACACAACAGTAGAGCTGTCACTGATTTTTTTATTTTTTTATTTTATGATGAAAGCTCACTGGCATTTCGCTTCCCAGATATGTCAAGTGATATTACCTAATTTCCTAATAATATGGAGCTGAAAAATGGTATTGCAATTAACGACGGTACAAAAGGGCATTTGCAGCAAATGAATTTGTTAGTCTCAATGAATGGAAGGAACACGATTTATCTAAATTAAAATTTTGAATTTAAATTATGTAAATAAAAAAAAATGTTTGGAGAGTCTTTTTATGAGATCTTATAAGACTTGATATTAAATTAATCAAAATTTAATATAATTATAAAAAACTATGAGGTTAATACTTAATACAAAAAAGGTATTTGCTTGATTGTATCTTCCAAATTTGTTCTTCATTATGCTACAACTTTATCTCTTTATCCTTTTTTTTTTTTTTTGTGTTGTTCTAATCCATCATCTTTATATAAATTAATTTGATAATTAAATATAATAAATAAAAAATAATTAAAAATTTTGTTTCATATAAATAAAAATATTCAATAACAATTACTATAAACAGAAAAAAAATAATTACCATTTATTTATTGTATAAAATTAATAAATTATTTTATTAAATTTTAGATAAAAAATCAACTTAAAACAATTAAATCACATAGAAAGCAGTAAGAAGGAAATAAAGAATAGTTATTTATATGGTAAGGGCATATTCTCTCAAAAATAAATTTTATCAAGGCAAAACCCTCAAATTCACCCTTAAAAAATATCGGTAGGGAGTAGGGACACATCAATTCCTAAAAAAAAAGCAGGGACAAATTGACCCTCCAAATTATAAATCAATACAAATTATTCCTTTTTCAACAAAAAGTGTCAAAATTTTGTTTGTCATGTTAGTATTTTTTAACGAAAAATGTTAAAAAATAAGTGATTTGTATTGATTTATGATTTGAGAGAGCAATTTATCTCTGTTTTTTTTTTTCAAAGTAAATATGTTCCTATCAATATTTTTTGTGGGTGGATTTGAGGGTTCTATCTTTTGTCAATACTTCTATTCTAATTTTGGAACTAATATCTTCAATTCTATTTAGTATGTATATGATTTTGGCTCAAGTCAATGATATGATAGGACTACAAAAATCTTACTGATTACTATAAGAGTTTAATAAATTTAGATGATATAATATTAAAATGAGTGATCGTTTATTAAAGGATTTGTCTAACTTGTTATATTATAATATAGGTTAAGAGTGTAATTATTAAATTTTTTATTAATCATAATTAAAAAATATATAAAAAATATCATTTATTTCATCATTAATGTCACGTAAATCATTTTAATTAAACAGTTACTTAAATAAAGATTAATTTTTATTTTTTTCAATAGCAATTAATGAGAAAAAAATGTAATACTTATATTTTTAACATATATTTTTAAGGTACAAATTAAAAAAATCCTTACTAGATTTGTTAATTCAAAATAAAAATAATACTAATAATAAACAATCAAATCTCTTATCACTATAGTTTTGTGAGACTAACCATGGGCCATGTTTGTCAGCTTAATTCTTTTCGTCGCTTTTTTCTCGTTTGTTATAATGTAACCAAGCGACTCGCACATGGTATATTTTAAATTTTTCATTTTTCTGATTGTGAATTTTGAGCACTGCGGGACGCTTTTTTGCAGTCCGAAAAAATGGTTACTAATTTTGGAGAGAAAGGTCCTACATATAAGTTGTGTTTGGTTATGATGGATCGTGAAAGAACAATTCAATGAAGCTAGTGAAAAGCAAGGTATGGCTTGATTTAGGAAGGAAAGAACTTAGGATTAACAACATATAATCACTAACGAGGGGTTGAATCAAGTGGTAAGCGGCTTATTCCAACTTAAATAAGTTCTTGAGTTCGAATTCTTGTGTACGCAGCAGTTCTCGCTGGGAGACTCATCCATCATTTTCAGGTGCGCGACACGGGTCGGATCTGAATTAGTTGGGGCGAAATCCCGGATACCGGGCGAGAAATCAAAAAAAAAAAAACAACATATAATCAATTATATAGGATATAATTAATTATATGTGCTGTGGATAGTATTTAAAAAAAAAAAAGTTTTCTTAGATAAAGTAATGATGAATTATTTTTTTAAAAAATTAATTATATTCAAATAATTAGTTATGTCCAAAAAATAATTAGTTATAAACCATGAAATAATTGATTAAATCACTTTATAATTAATTACTCTACATAAACTTTTATCTCACGAATAACAAAATCTTGAGCCAAGCCACTAATCTTATAAACTTGGCTTTCCTGAATTATTTTTCTGGGACCTATAACAACTAAACAAGTTTTAAGTTTTGCACTTGATATTTTTAATATGACGACTATAAATCATATTGTAAATACTCCCTTAATTTAAAAGTTAGGTTTCAAATCTCTCTATTACCTAATGTTATAACCTATTCAAAAAACCCAAAAAAAGAAAAAAGAAAAAAAAAAGAAAGAAAAAGAAGGGAGCAAGTCTTAAGTGTAGCCTCATTAAAATGTTATGGTTGTACAATTTAACTTGACTTCAATTACGACAAAGTAATTATTAGTTTTGAGAAAGAAAAATCTCACATACAAAAAATCTACCCTTAATTCGATTGTTACAATTGCATAGTATACATCACATAAAAAATGCAGAACACCTTCTTTTCTTTTTTTTCACTCATTTTACCACTTGTTTATACTCTACAGGAAAAAAGAAAGGACTGAACCAAATGATATGAAGAAATTTTATACAAATCATGACAGCATATGCAATAAAGTCAAAAATGACAGAAAGGAAATCAGAACTGCAAACGTGAGAATCATTTGAATCACGTAGGATAGATCTTTAAATTGGGAAGGAAGGACTACTCGTAATAATTAATAAAGAACGGAAACAAATGAAGCAAACTTATATTTCTTTGCTTTCGAAACCCAAACCCAAAAATAGGTTATTTCCGGCAGTGTACAGCGGCCATTCAGTTCCTAATTTCAAACAGGCCCAAAACCGGGCCTTTTTCTTCCCAAGTATTGGAGATTGGACACTGCTACAAATGGTTTTGGGCTTAGTTATTTTTCATATACATACTTGTTTTTCATATATAATTCTTTTTTTTTTATTTTAAATTTATGTTATATTAATTGTCATTTTTTATTTTTTAAAGTACATAAATTTTTTTTCCTAGACCCTATTTTATCCATTTATTTTAATTATTTATCTTATCACAAAAAATTTTTCTTTATCTTTTATTTTATTTATTTTATTTTATTAAGATAATGTAGGTAAACACATAAAATTACCTAAAAATTCGTAGTTTAGAAAAAAAATAGAGATCATTTTCCAAAAATAAAAAGCAACATTTATTTTAAGAAAAAGAGTAATATAAAAAGTTAAATTTATACATGAAAATAAAAATATGTTGTATAATTTAAAGTATATAATTTAAACTATTAAATAAAAAATAATTTCTAAATATTAACATTTGTCTTCCTAATTAAATAATTTTTATTTTGTAATTCTAACTCTGGATAAAAAATCTCATTATAAAACTAGAATCCCCAACACTTCAAACGGGCTACGCGGACTCATTTTACAACATCGCTTGTGTGGAACATGGTACATCATTCGCTCGACGGGCCTCTTTATGCACATAGTCTTAACACTCTAAGCATCTCGATGAGTGTTGTGTTTTGATGTCGTGGCACATGCCTTGCTAGCATAGAACGCGTCATGTGTGGTGCTGTATGCTCTTTATTTGAGAGAAAATAATTCTCCGTCAATTTTGAGGTAAATAGATGGAAAGTAATATTTTAATTTAAGATTAACGATTTATTGATTTAAGTGAAAAATTTTAAAATTTCTTATATAAAGTTTTGCATTTGAGTTTTGTAAATAAATAAATAGACACTAAAAGAGTTTCTTTTTAATAGAGTTCAACACAACTCAATTCTAAATTAATTAATATTATATATGATTTTTTTAATTGAAAGATTAATATAAAAAAATATATTTCAATTCAAGGTAGGTACACAAAACATGCAAAATATCAACAAATTGTAATGTAAAAAGTATATAGTTATGCATAATTTAATTTAAAAATACTCTGGCCACTGAAAAAAGGGAAAAGCCTAATGATTGATCAAAGAATTTGACAGTATATATATGTTGAGTAGAAACCAAGAAGACTATGCGGTCGGCAGTACCATTCCAATTACATGTCTCCAGTCCAGCACAAAAG